AAACATTTCATATGGCAATTTTTTGTAGAGAAATCAGGATATTACAAACTAAATTTCGCTCTTCAGCTCACGATGAATAAAGCATTCATCACAATTGAGAAGGGGTGGATGGGCGGGGCTTATATTTTGTCCATTTTATTTTAATATATGAAGGCTTTTTTCCCAACAAGAAATTGACAATATGTTTAATTTTCTTGTTGAGTCCGGTTGTTGAAAGAAAACTCTATATATTAAAAAAAAAAATAAGCCCCGCCCACCCGCTCCATCTCAATTGTGATGAATTTTTCATTCCTAATCAGACCAAAGGGCGGAGTTTAAATGCAAAATCCTCATTTCTCTACAAGAAATTAGCATATGAAATATGTTTTTATATCAATATTTCTCTGAAAAATTCTATCCTTTTAAAAACATTTCATATGGCAATTTCTTGTAGAGAAATGAGGATGTTGCAACCTAAACTTCGTCCTTCAGCTCATGATGAATAGAACATTCATAACAATTGCGAAGGGGTGGGTGGGTGGGGCTAATATTTTGTCCATTTTATCTTATTATACGAAGTCTTCTTTTCCTAACAAAAAACTGATGAAAAGTTTAACTATTTTGTTGTTGAAAGAAAACTCTGCATGTTAAAAAAAAAAACAAACAAAAATTAAGCCCCACCCACCCGCCCCATCTTAATTGTGATCAATTTTTCGTTGCTAATCAGACCGAAGGGCGAAGTTTAATTGCAAAATCCTCATTTCTCTACAAGAAATTATCAATATTTCTCTGAAAAATTCTACCCTTTGAAAAACATATTTCATATGGCACTTTCTTTTAGAGAAATCACGATTTTGCAAACTAAACTCCGCCCTTCAGCTCATGATGCATAAAATATTCATCACAACCGAGAAGGGGTGGGCGGGCGGGGCTTATTTGTTGTCCATTCTTTCTTACTATACGAAGTCGTTTTTTCCCAACAAGAAACTGACATGTTTAACTATCCTATTATTGAAAGAAAACTCTATATATTCAAAAAAGGTAATTTACCTTCACGGACTTTGATATGGTTCCTACCTGATATTAATTAGATGCTTGGATAAGAGGAAACTTGAAAAAAGAACGTTCGGAATGCGAGCGCAGCGAGCACGTTCAGGTTGCAAGATTCATTCGAGTTGTATTAGGCGACTCCCACAAGCCTTAATGATCACAAACATTTTTCAGACTTGACGATCGAATTTTTTGTTCCACACACACTTGTAGTGTATACGAATCCGCTTTCAGTCTTTTTCGCTTAACATTCAAATCTTCTCAAAAACAATTGGATGGTGTAATAACCTTATCTTTGTTTTTTTTTAATATATAGAGTTTTCCTTCAACAACAGGAAAGTTAAACATGTTTTCAGTTTCTTGTTGGGTAAAGAAGCCTTTGTATACTAAGAAAAAATAGACAAAATATAAGCCCCACCCACCCACCCGTTCTCAATTGTGATAAATGTTTTATTCATCATGAGCTGAAGGGCGAAGTTTAACTGCAAAATCGTCATTTCTCTACAAGAAATTATCATATGAAATATATATGTTTTTACATCAATATTTCTCTGAAAAATTCTACCCTTTTAAAAACATTTCATATGGCAATTTCTTGTAGAGAAATCAGGATATTGCAAACTAAATTTCGCCCTTCAGCTCACGATGAATAAAGCATTTATCATAATTGAGAAGGGGGGGAGGGGGTGGGCGGGGCTTATATTTTGTCCATTTTTTCTTAATATATGAAGTCTTCTTTTCCTAGTAAGAAACTGATAACATGTTTAACTAGTTTGTTGTTAAAAAAAACTATAAATATTTAAAAAAAACAAAACAAAAATTAAGCCCCACCCACCCGCCCCATCTCAATTGTGATGAATTTTTCATTCCAAATCAGACCAAAAATCCTCATTTCTCTACAATAAATTATCATATGAAATATGTTTTTATATCAATATTTCTCAAAAAAATGTTGTTCTTTTAAAAACATATTTCATATGGCAATTTCCTGTAGAGAAATCAGAATGTTTCAATCTAAACTTCGCCCTTCAGCTCACGATGAATAAAGCATTCATCACAATCGAGAAGGGGTGGGTGGGCGGGGCTTATATTTTGTCCATTTTTTCTTAATATATGAAGTCTTCTTTTCCTAGTAAGAAACTGATAACATGTTTAACTAGTTTGTTGTTAAAAAAAACTATAAATATTTAAAAAAAACAAAACAAAAATTAAGCCCCACCCACCCGCCCCATCTCAATTGTGATGAATTTTTCATTCCAAATCAGACCAAAAATCCTCATTTCTCTACAATAAATTATCATATGAAATATGTTTTTATATCAATATTTCTCAAAAAAATGTTGTTCTTTTAAAAACATATTTCATATGGCAATTTCCTGTAGAGAAATCAGAATGTTTCAACCTAAACTTCGCCCTTCAGCTCACGATGAATAAAGCATTCATCACAATCGAGAAGGGGTGGGTGGGCGGGGCTTATATTTTGTCCATTTTATTTTAATATATGAAGTATTTTTTTCACAAAAAGAAATTGACAATATGTTTAATTTTCTTGTTGTGCCCGGTTGTTGAAAGAAAACTCTATATATTAAAAAAAAAATAAGCCCCACCCACCCGCCCGATCTCAATTGTGATGATTTTTTTCATTCCTAATCAGACCAAAGGGCGGAGTTTAATTGCAAAATACTCATTTTTCTACAAGAAATTATCATATGAAATGTTTTTACATCAATATTTCTCTGAAAAATTCTACCCTTTTAAAAACATTTCATATGCCAATTTCTTGTAGACAAATGAGGATTTTGCAACCTAAACTTCGCTCTTCAGCTCACGATGAATAAGGCATTCATCACAATCGAGAAGGGGTGGGTGGGCGGGGCTTATATTTTGTCCATTTTATTTTAATATATGAAGTCTTTTTTTCCCAACAAGAAATTGACAATATGTTTAATTTTCTTGTTGTGTCCGGTTGTTGAAAGAAAACTCTATATGTTAAAAAAAAGTAAGCCCCACCCACCCACCCCATCTCAATTGTGATGAATTTTTCATTATTAATCAGACCGAAGGGCGGAGTTTAATTGCAAAATCCTCATTTCTCTACAAGAAATTATCGTATGAAGTGTGTTTTTACATCCATATTTCTCTAAAAAATTCTGCCCTTTTAAAAACATATTTCATATGATAATTTCTTGTAGAGAAAAGAGGATTTTGCAACCTAAACTTCGCTCTTCAGCTCACGATGAATAAAGCATTCATCACAATCGAGAAAGGGTGGGTGGGCGGGGAGACTTATATTTTGTCCATTCTTTATTCCTATACGAAGTCGTCTTTTTTGTAACAACAAACTGACATGTTTAGCTATTTTGTTGTTGAAAGAAAACTACATATCAAAAAAAACTAAACAAAAGCTAAGCCCCACCCACCCACGCGGATTTCAATTGTGATGAATTTTTCATTCCAAATTAGACCGAAGGGCGCAGTTTAATTGCAAAATCCTCATTTCTCCACAAGAAATTATCATATGAAATATTTGTTTACATCAATATTTCTCTGAAAAATTCTACTCTTTTAAAAACATGTTTCATATGGCAATTTTTTGTAGAGAAGTGAGAATGTTGCAGTCTAAACTTCGCCGTTCAGATCATGATGAATATAACATTCATCACAATTGCGACAGGGTGGGTGGGCGGGGCTTATTTTTTGTCCATTTTTTCTTAATATATGAAGTATTTTTTTCCCAACAAGAAACTGACAACATGCTTAACTATCCTCTTGTTGAAAGAAAACTCTATATATTAAAAAAAAGGTAATTTACCTACACGGACTTCGATAGGGTTCCCGCCTAATATTAATTAGATGCTTGGATCAGAGCAAACTTGAAAAAGAACGTTCGAAATGCGAGCGCAGCGAGCACGTTCAGGTTGCAAGAGTCATTCAAGTTTTATTATTCGACTCCCACAAGCTTTAATGATCACAAATATTTTTCAGACTTGACGATCTAATTTTTTGTTCCAGACACACTTGTAGTGTATACGAATCCGCTTTCAGTTTTTTCGCTGAACATTCAAATCTTCTCAAAAACAAGTGCATGGTGTAATAATCTTATCTTTGTCAGAGTTTTCCTTCAACAACAGGAAAGTTAAACATGTTTTCAGTTTCTTGTTGGGAAAAGAAGACTTTGTTATTAAGAAAAAATGGACAAAATATAATATTTCATATGGTAATTTCTTCTAGAGAAATGAGGATTTTGCAATTAAAAGCATTTTAATTTAATCAGTAAAATGAATCGGCGCACTGATTCACTTTTCTGAGTCATCTTGTATAAGCATTTCTAGAAAATAGGAATTCATTAATAAACCACAAGTGACGTTTATCATCTCTTGTCAATTTTAGATAGGTTTTATCCAGGAATGTACTTGAGATGACGTCATCAAGTTATGCGTTGTGTTCGTCAAACAATGACAGTTATTTTGATTTTAACCAACCTCCCAAAAAATCGGCTTAATACTAGACTCGGAAGTGTGGTTATGTGACGTTGACACATCGCTCTGTAATTCGATTTGTTTCCATCCAGGCGATGCGATGAACGTTATTGTTTGACATTTTTTTGCATTTCGGATTTCTCTAATCCCGTATGTATTTACAACGCAAACAAGTCACTTTCGCACATTTCATCCCCAAAAAAATAAAAAATAAATAAGCCTGCTACAAAACCCGCCAACCCCGTCCCTTTTTTGCCCCACGCCGCCCCCCGAAATTAGCGCATGTAAAAGCGGCTTTAGTTTTGCGATTCAAATTAGCCGCAACTACTTTCTAATCCCGCCGACCCCCCGGCCCGTCACGTGACCGCAAAAAGTCGCCTCCTGGATCGCACAGAGCACAAAGCCGCGATCGATGACGCCGAAACAATCACGGAGACAATCGATAATAACAAAAATAATTGTTGCGTTCCGAGCCGACTCCCTCCGACCGCCTTCGTCCGTCTCCGCAAGGCGCGCTCGTTTGTTTCTGAATTCCAGTTTTCCAGTAACGGCGGGCGCGCTGATCTGACAACAAGGTAATCTAGACACCTGTGCGTGCGTGACGCGTCATCGAGTGCAGTGCCGACTAGATCGCGAAATTCGCCAAATCGGTCCAGTGAGCCATGTTCTAGGTGTTTTGCGGTTCGAGCAGTTCCAGTGAGTGTGTGCACCTACTAGATTTCGAAAGTTCGGATTTCGCCGACGATGACGTTGGATTCCAGAGCCCTCTTGGCTGTCGTGGCCGGCTTCGTCTTCGCGCAAGGTACACACAAAAATCGAGCGTGCCGCTCTCGGCTTGTTTTGCCGCCGCGTCGATGTGGCGGCTATTACTATTGCCGAAAAGTGGCTAAAGGTGGGATTACGCGTCTTCCGGATGCGTCCATGCTAATGACCCGATTTCGCCGGTCAAGGCCGCCTTTTCCATTTTCTACCTTTTGTCTGGCGGTGGCTGGGGTTACGATTTAAATTTTAACGGTCCGGGCGGTGGGGGGTGGGGGGCGCCGGACCGGTTCGGACCGTAATGAGTCAGGTGAAGGAAAACGGTGCGAGGGCCTTTGTTGTCGGTCGAGGCCCCTCCCGCCCCCCGCCGTCTTGGAACAGGTGGTTTTTGTTCACCCCTGCCGGAGGGGATTAGGGGATTTTGGGTGTCACAGGTGACAGTCGACGAAAGAGTCAGGGACGGCTCGAGAAGAAAGGAATTCGTTGATGGTGGGTCATTAAAAAACTATCATGGAAATGGGTTTCCGGTGAAATCTGAGTCATTTTCAGGTAGTTTGTTTAAAAGTCGAGGTAAATGGGAGCCCGCCACCAAATAAATAAATAAATAATAATCACATCAATAGCATAAATGCGAACTTCGAACAACGCAGCGAGTTGGAGTTGGCTTTGTTTAGTTCGGTAACGAGGGTTGGTACTCCTGCGCGGTTGTTATTATTTTTCGCTAGTTTAACCCAGTGATTGCATTTAGAACCTTAATCCCCTTATCGCGAGTAATAGTATGAGTAATAGATAAACACAGAGTAATGCAATTTATCAACTAATAAAGACTCCCATCTTCAGCATTAAGTTTCGTCACCGTAATCTAGAACGACTCTGGTTTATATTTTTCTTGCGCAAATCGTTTTATGTTTAAAGTTAGAGATGTGTAAGGTATTAAAGAATTAAACGAAATAATACCTCGTGGAGTCGCTTGCGGAAAACAGGGACTTCCCGCCGAATAAGAAGATTATTTTTGTACAGATTACGGAGAAATAACTACAGATAAAAATGTCGATGAACACGATACTCGTTATTTTATTTTTTTGCGTCTTGTTATTAGATTTACTAGGGTTCTTTGTTTGTAAAGAATGCGAGCGCAGCGAGCACGTTTAGGTTATATTACAAAAATTATTCACCGTTGTCGCTGAGAAGCTAAATTATCAAAAAAATTGTACATTGTTATTTAAAGAAGTGGATGCAAAAATATTTGTGATCACGAACCCCTGTGGGACTCACAAAGACCTTAGTCAATGGCAGCTATAAAGGCATTTTAATTTTTAATGGCATTAACTCGACGAAATTTTGAGGTAACGTGATCGACACTTTAGATCTCTTGTATTTTGTTTTCGAGTAGTTTGAAAGAATGTCGATGATCTCATGTGCCTTGTTTCTGAAGTATTTCGAAAGAATCTCGACTGCCCCTTGTGCTGTGTTCGTGAAGTAATTTGAAAAGATGTCGAGGATTTTTCTGTGTATTGTTTTTGAAGTAGTTTGAAAGAATCTCGGGATCCCTTGTCGTGTTTTTGCAGTAATTTGAAAGAATCTCTCGAATCCTTTGTCTTATTTTTGAAGTAATTAGAAAGAATCTCGGACACCTTTTGTGTTTTGTTTTTGAAGCAATTAGAAAGAATCTCGAGAATTCTTTATTTTATTCTTGAAGTACATACCATGAAAGGATCTCGAGGCAGCCTTGCGTTTTGTGTTTTTGATGTGGTTCGAAAGAATCTCGAGAAACCGTTCTCTTGTTTTTGAAGTAATTTGAAAGAACCTCGGGACTCTTTCTGGGTATTGTTTTTGAAGTAATTTGGAATAATCTCCGTTATCTTTATGTGTGTAATTTTTGGAGCAATTTATTAGAATCTTGGGCGTCCCTTGTGTCTTGTTTCTGAAGTAATTTGGAAGAATCTCGGAAATCTTTTTATTTGTAATCATTTTTGAAGTAATTAATCGGAATCTCGAAGGCCTTTGTGTCTTATTTTTGAAGTAATTTGAAAGAATCTCGAGGATCTTTCTGTGTATTGTTTTTGAAGTAATTTGAAAGAATATCGGCAATCTTTTTGTGTATTATTTTTGAAGAAATTTATTAGAATCCTGGGCACTTCTTTGCCTTGTTTTTGAAGTAATTTGGAGAATCTCGTGACCGCATCTGTTTTGTTTTTGAAGTAGTTTGAAAGAACCTTGTCTTGTTTTTGAAGTAATTCTGTGTCCAGTTTTTAAAATAATTAGAAAGTATCTCGAAAACCTCTTGTGTTTTGTTTTTGAAGTAGTTTGAAAGAATCTCGGTAATCCATTCTGTTTTATTTTTAAAATAATTAGAAAGTATCGCGAAAACCCGCTATGTTTAGTTTTTGAAGTAGTTCGGAAGAATCTCGGTGATCCCTTCCGTTTTATTTTTAAAGTAATTAGAATTTTGAGAACTCTTTGTGCTTTACTTTTGAAACATCTGGAAAGAATCTCGGGGGGCCCACGCAATGTGTTTTTGAAGTAGTTTGAAAGAATCTCCGGGATCATTTGACATGTTTTTGAAGTAATTTGAAAGAATATCGGCAATCTTTTTGTGTATTATTTTTTAAGAAATTTATTAGAATCCTGGACACTTCTTTGCCTTGTGTTTGAAGTAATTTGGAGAATCTCGTGACCCCATCTGTTTTGTTTTTGAAGTAGTTTGAAAGAATCTCCGGGATCTCTTGTCTTGTTTTTGAAGTAATTCTGTGTACAGCTTTTAAAATAATTAGAAAGTATCTCGAAAACCCCTTGTGATTTGTTTTTGAAGTAGTTTGAAAGAATCTCTGTAATCCCTTCTGTTTTATTTTTAAAATAATTAGAAAATATCGCGAAAACCCGCTATGTTTAGTTTTTGAAGTAGTTCGGAAGAATCTCGGTGATCCCTTCCGTTTTATTTTTGAAGTAATTTGAAAGAATCTCGAGGATCTTTCTGTGTATTGTTTTTGATGTAATTAGAATCTTGAGAACTCTTTGTGTTTTACTTTTGAAGCAGCTGGAAAGAATCTCGGGGGGCCCACGTGATGTGTTTTTGAAGTAGTTTGAAAAAATCTCCGGGAACTTTTGACATGTTTTTGAAGTAATTTGGAAGAATATCGGCAATCTTTTTGTGTAATATTTTTGAAGAAATTTATTAGAATCCTCGGCACTTTTTGCCTTGTTTTTGAAGTAATTTGGAAGAATCTCGGGAACATTTCTCTTTCTAATTTTTGAAGTAATTTATTAGAATCTCCGGCGCCCCCTTGTCTTCTTTTTGAAGTAATGCTGTGTACAGTTTTTAAAATAATTAGAAAGTATCTCGAAAACACCTTGTGATTTATTTTCGAAGTAATTTGAAAGAATCTCGGTGATTTCTTGTGTTTTATTTTTGAAGTAATTTGAAAGCATCTCGAGGATCTTCCTGTGTATTGTTTTTGAAGTAGTTTGAAAGAATCTCGGTAATATATTTCTGTTTTATTTTTAAAATAATTAGAAAGTATCGCAAAAACCCGCTATGTTTAGTTTTTGAAGTAGTTCGGAAGAATCTCGGTGATCCCTTCCGTTTTGTTTTTGAAGTAATTTGAAAGAATCTCGAGGATCTTTCTCTGTATTGTTTTTGAAGTAATTAGAATCTTGAGAACTCTTTGTGTTTTGCTTTTGAAGTAGCTGAAAAGAATCTCGGGGACCCCACGTGATGTTTTTTTGAAATAGTTTGAGAGAATTTTTGGGATCTTTTGCCTTGTTTTTGAAGTAATTTGGAAGAATCTCGGGAATATTTCTGTCTGTAATTTTTGAAGTAATTTAGTAGAATTTCCGGCGCCCGTCGTGTCTTTTTTTTTTTAAATAATTAGAAAGAATCGTGAGCACCCATCATATCTTGTTTTTGAAGTAATTTGGAAGAATCTTTGTAATCCCTTATGTTTTATTTTCGAAGTAATTTGAAAGAATCTTGAAGATCTTTCTGTGTATTGTTTTCGAAGTAATTAGAATCTTGAGAACTCTTTGTGTTTTGCGTTTGAAGTAGCTGGAAAGAATCCCGGGGGGCCCACGTGATGTGTTTTTGAAATAGTTTGAGAGAATTTTCGGGAACTTTTGCCTTGTTTTTGAAGTAATTTGAAAGAATCTCGGAAATCTTTCGGTGCATTGTTTTTGAAGAAATTTATTCGAATCCTGGACACTTCTTTGACTTGTTTTTGAAGTAATTTGGAAGAATCTCGGGAATATTTCTGTCTGTAATTTTTGAAGTAATTTATTAGAATCTCCGGCGCCCCTCGTGTCTTTTTTTGAAGACATTTGAAAGAATCGTGGGCACCTATTATATCTTGTTTTTGAAGTAATTTGGAAGAATCTCGGTAATCCCTTATGTTTTATTTTCGAAGTAATTTGAAAGAATCTCGAAGATCTCTCTATGTATTGTTTTTGAAATAATTAGAATCATGAGAACTCTTTATGTTTTGCTGTTGAAGTAGTTGGAAGGAATTTGTGGACGCCCACGTGATGTGTTTTTGAAGTAGTTTGAAAGAATCTCCGGGATCTTTTTACTTGTTTTTGAAGTAATTTGAAAGAAACTCGGAAATCTTTCGGTGCATTGTTTTTGAAGAAATTTATTAGAATCCTGGGCACTTCTTTGCCTTGTTTTTGAAGTAATTTGGAAGAATCTCGGCAATATTTCTGCTTATAATTTTTGAAGTAATTTATTAGAATCTCCGGCGCCCCTCGTGTCTTTTTGAAGACATTTGAAAGAATCGTGGGCACCTATTATATCTTGTTTTTGAAGTAATTTGGAAGAATCTCGGTAATCTCTTATGTTTTATTTTCGAAGTAATTTGAAAGAATCTCGAAGATCTCTCAATGTATTGTTTTTGAAGTAATTAGAATCATGAGAACTCTTTGTGTTTTGCTGTTGAAGTAGTTGGAAGGAATTTGTGGGCGCCCACGTGATGTGTTTTTGAAGTAGTTTGAAAGAATCTCCGGGATCTTTTTACTTGTTTTTGAAGTAATTTGAAAGAATCTCGGAAATCG